TTTTCAGCTGTCGGGGCAGGCTTCAAATGGTGGGAGGCCTATGAATTAAGCAAGCCAGCCAGCGATGCACCATTTACGTGGTATGAGTTCTCAGTTCTCTTCTTAGAGAAGTTTGTTCCACAAACCCGCATGGAGGAGTTGTGTAGGAGTTTGAACAGCTACACCAGGAGGGTATGTTCATGACTCAGTATGAGATGAGAGTTTTAGAGTGTGCTCGTCCCGCGATCTGGTTGGTTCCCACAGAGAAGGAGGGGATTAGGAGGTTCATTGATGGCCACAACTATGGATGGCACTTCGTCATGACTCGGGATATTGCATCAAGAGATAGGTTCGATGAGGTGGTTGATATTGCTAGGAGGCTAGAGCAGGTCCGTAGTTAGGAGCGTTAGGAGAGGGAAGCCAAGAGGCCTCATGGGTCGGGAGTTTCAGCGGTGTTTCTTCTGGAGAACAGTCCCACCACAATATGGGTCATCCTTATAGGCTCGCTTAGATGGCTCGGTTGATTCATCGTGGTGCATCAATTAGCCATGGTTCATACAGTGCACGTCCAGGTCAGCCATCTCTCAGTGCCCTCCCAGCTCAGAGTTTATTTCGTGCTCCATTATTTCAGGTTTCATCTATGTCAGTTCCTTCTAGTAGTTATTCTAGTTCTCAGGGTCCGATTCAGTACCTGCCGCCATTGTCGGAGCGGGGTTGCTTTGAGTGTGGAGAATTTGGTCATGTGAAGAGGTATTGTCCCCATCTTTTGGGAGGTCCAGTTCAGCAGAGGAGTAAGGCCATGACTTCCGCACCAGTTACTTCACCGCCCGCTCAGCCAGCTCAGGGAGGGGCTCAGGCAGCTAGAGGTCGCCCAAGAGGGGGAGGCTAATCAGGTGGCGGTCAGGCTCGATTCTATGCTTTCCCTGCCATGTCCTACCAGAGGTCGTTGCTTCAGATGTAGTGATCACAGGTATTGTCTCTGTATGCCACAGGGATGCTTCCATATTATTTGACCCTGGTTCCACTTATTCATATGTATCATCATATTTTACTCATTATTTGGATATGCCCCGTGAGTCCTTAGTATTTCCTGTTCATGTATCTACGCCGGTGGGCGGTTCTATTGGTGTGGACTGTGTGTATCGGTCATGTGTGGTGACCATTGGGGATTGAAGAAGAGAGTTGATCTCTTATTGCTTAGTATGGTTGATTTTGACAGGATTCTGGGCATGGATTGGTTGTTCCTATGTCATGATATTCTGGATTGTCATGCTAAAACTGTGACGTTGGTGATGCTGGGGTTACTTAGGATCGAGTGGAGAGGTTCTCTAAACTATGTTCCCAATAGGGTGATTTCACTGAAGACCCAACAGATGGTTGGGAAGGGGTGTTTGTCATATTTGGCTCTATGAGGGATGTTAGTGCTGAAACTCCTACCATTGATTCTATTCCGGTAGTGCGAGACTTTCCGAATGTGTTTTCTGCAGACCTGTCAGGCATGACGCCCGATAGGGATATTGATTTTGGTATTGACTTGGTGCCGGGCACTCAACCCATTTTTATTCCTCTATATCGTATGGCACCACCATACCTCACGGTGTCCCTAAGGACAAGCAAATGGGGATCATCATACTAATGCGCTCATACAAGGAAGACCGAGCGACTATGCAAGCTAAAACATGACTGGGCTCTGAAACATCTAGCCTCACAAACTGATTGGCCAAAGCTTGAACATCTGCAGCAAGCGGCCTCTCACCAACTGGAATGTACGCAAGGCTGCCCATACTCACAGTCTTTCTACCCAAGCCGTCGGCCATCACATTGGCCTTCTCGAGAAAATACAAAATGGTGATATCATAGTCTTTCAACAGCTCCAACCATCTCCTCTACCTCAAGTTGAGATCTTTTTGTTTGAACAAATACTATAGACTCCGATGATCCGTGAATACCTCACACAACACGCCGTAAAGATAGTGCATCCAAATCTTCAGCATATGAACAATGGCTGCTAATTCTAAGTCATGAACAAGGTAATTCTTCTCATGAACCTTCAACTGTCGTGATACGTATGCAATAACCCTGTCATCCTGCATCAATACTGCACCGAGCCAAATATGAGATGCATCACAATACACCGTATAAGATCCTGAACCGGTGGGCAACACCAACACTGGCATCATAGTCAAAGCAGACTTGAGCTCCCGAAAGCTCAACTCACACTCACCCGACCATCTGAATGGGGCACCCTTCTGGGTCAATTTGATCAACGGGGCTGCTATACATAAAAAACCCTCCACGAACCGGCGATAAAAACCCGCAAAACCTAGGTAACTCCGGATCTCTGTAGCGGTCTAGGCCAGTTCTGCAGTGCCTCAATCTTCTTAAGATTCATTTTTATGCCCTCTGTCGATACAACATGTCCCAAAAAGGCGACTGAGTATAAGCAAAACTCACACTTCTAAAACTTGGCATATAATTGACTATCTCTCAGAGTCTGAAGTACAACTCGAAGCTGAAGCTGATCAAATAAGTCATCAATCCTTGGCAACGGATACTTGTTTTTTATAGTGATTTTGTTCAACTACCGATACACTATACACATCCTCATCGACCCATCTTTTTTCTTCACGAACAACACGGGCGCACCCCAGTGCGAGACACTAGGTCTAATAAAGCCATTATCAAGAAAATCTTGCAATTGCTCCTTCAACTCCGGCGGGGCCATACAGTATCGCGGAATAGAAATGGGCTGAGTGCCCGGAGCCAAATCAATACAGAAGTCAATATCTATATCGGGTGGCATCCCCGGCAGATCTGCAAGAAACACCTCTAGAAATTCACGAACAACCGGCACTGAATCCATGGAAGGAACTTCCGCACTAGAATCACGGACATAGGAAAATTAAGCTAGACATCCCTTCTCAACCATACGTCGAGCCTTCACATAGGAAATAACCATGTTGGTATAGTGATCAGGAGTCCCTCTCCACTCTAGTCGAGGCAACCCCGGCTGGGCTAAGGTCACCGTCTTGGCGTGACAGTCCAATATAGCATGATAAGGTGACAACCAATCCATATCCAAGATAACAACAAAATCTACCATATAGAGAAGTAGAAGATCTACACTAGTCTCGAGACTCCTAATAGTAACCACACACGAGCGGTAGACACGAACTACAACAATAAAATCTCTCACATGTGGGACACATACACAGGAGCGCTCAAAGAATCATGAGGCACAACTAGATATGAAGCAAAATAGGACGACACTTAGCAATAAGTAGATCCCGGATCAAACAGAACTGAGGCATCTCTATGGAAAACGGGAATAATACATATGATAACGGCGTTAGATGACTCGGCCTCAGGCCTAGCTGGGAAAGCATAACATTAGGATTGGGCCCCACCACTATGAACTACGTCGTTGGGACGGCCTCTCGCTGGGTGACCTCCACCTCTAACGGCCTGACCTTCACCTCTGGCTTCCTGACCCCTGCCTCTAGCTGGCTGAGCGAGCGGTGGAGAAACCAGTGACGGGATCATGGCACGAGAGCCCTATTGTTGCACGCTGCCCTCTAACCTGGGGAAAAATCTAAGCAATGTGCCTCGGATCACCATAAGTATAAAAAGTCCTCGACTGCTGTAACTGCTGACCCTGGAACTGGCCTTGAGGACCTAAATAACCACTCTAATAGTTCTGGATCGGAGGTGCACTGATAAGAGCTGGTGGTACACTGTGGGCTGGCTGTCCAGAATGAGACACGTAAGGACCACGACTCCCTAAAGCACTGTGGGACGCCTGAAGCGCTAAATGAAATGGTTTGGGAGGATGGCCTCTACCAAAAGCACCTCTGCCTCCAAATGAGGCACCGCTGATACCACCGGAATGACGAGGCCTCTTATCTGACACTGGCCCCCTCTCCTGAGCATAAACCAACTCGGTACGTTTGTCAATATCAACGACCGCCTGGAAGGAAATATCACTCCCTGTATCCTTGGCCATCTGAAGCTTGAGAGTGTAAGTGAGCCCATCAATAAATCTCCTCACTCGGTCCTTCTCAGTATGAAGCAAGATAGTGGCATGGCGAGCTAAGTCCGCAAATCGAGTCTCGTACTGGGTGACAGTCATACCACTCTGCTGAAATTGCTCAAACTGCCTGCGATACTCCTCACTCAGGGTAACAGGGATGAACTTTTCTAGAAATAGCTGTGAGAACTGATCCTAGGTAAGTGCAGGCGACCCAACTAGTCTAGTCAACATATAATCTCTCCACTATCTCAGGGTGCAACCAGTCATGTGAAATGCTGCAAAATCGACCCCATTGATCTCAACTATACCCATGTTCTGCAGCACCTCGTGGCAATGGTCCAGAACATCCTGTGGGTCCTCAGAAGATGCACCACTGAAATGAACAGGAAAGAGCTTGGTGAACTTATCCAACCTCGACATAGCCTCAGAAGATAAAGCGAGCCTACCACCAGCTTGTGCCGCAACAACCGGCTAAACTATCCCAACTAGCGGGGCTGCAAGAGTCTGAAATTAGGGAGCCACCTGCTCCGGTGTGTGAGTAGCGGGAGTCTGTGCTTATCCCCTAGCCCGAGAGACGGCTGGTGCCACCGGGAATGTACGGCCTGGGCCACACTCTCCATAAGGCCCACCGAACGGACTAAAGCATCCTGAAGCACTAGAGAAGCTATGAACCCCTCCGGGGCCTTTGTTGGCCCAATAGATACAGTCTGGGCTGGAACCTCCTCATCAAAAGACACGGACTGCGCATGCAAATCGAGGAAGGCTAAACAGAACTAATCGAGATTTTGAAACACAGAATTTAAGGTTAAAACTGTAAATGACATATCGTGTCATCACATAAAGAGTCATTCACAACCTAGCTAGCTTAAGTGTAAGAAATGTAATAAAAATATAAAGCCAAATATTTTCATAAAGAATTATACTAAATCCAAGTAAATATGTTCATAAGTATGTATGTAATTCAATTAGTAATGTACATGAGTTCAATTAATTAATTTGATCATGAAAACGTGTTTAAAGTTCTAAGTATTAATGCAGCCCATGATTGATTAGAATAAAACAATTAAGGGCGAAACTAATTGTTAGCCTAATCATGTTATTCTAAGTGTAATTAATCTAACATGTACAAATGAATACCTAAATAACTATGGCAACTAACTAATATTTTACTATGTTTATCTTTTGAGTACACCCAAGAGCAGAAAGTATGAAGCGGGGCAATTGAGGGAGTATGACCTTTGATTTTTCTCCAAACGTCATCTTTGAAGGGTGACTTCCGGGTAGGGTATCTCGCAAAGCAAGAGAACAAGCGTTAGTAAAATAATATGATGTAGAAATAAATTATTAAAGTTACATGTTTTTTGAAATTGTTTTTGTTTGAAAATATTTTTTCAAATTATTTTTTGAAAATTATTTGAAATATTTTTGAAAAATTACTTTTGGGAAAATAGTTTTAAAAAATATTATAGGAGGTTCGGATTATGATTTTTATTTCCGTCTAGACATGAGAACGGGAACCGACTTAGTTGAGACTACGGTAGCTAATCGTGTGGCCGTCCAAAGTATTGGTTCGTCACATTCTCGTCTTTCTTTTCTCGATATTTATTGTAATCGCCTCTTTATTTCGGTCCCAGTCCGAAGGATCAATTCGGAGGGTCGTGGCCTCAATAACTTGAAAATTATTTTCATCGGCCTGTAATATAATATTGTCCATATCAGTAAGGTATGATAGGCGTAGTATCTGTTGAGAATCGGCTATACTTGACAACAAATACCATCACAATAATTTCAAAATGTACGTGTCTTTCATAAGCTGCAATTGCTAGTATTCAACATCAATTAGTCCAGGAACATAAACGAGAAGCAAACGAAAGCAGCGATGACCATGGGACTAAGTTCCAAACATGCAACACAATGTAACAACTGTAGAAAGAAATTCCCACACAAATAAAAGCAATAGGATGATAAAGAGTAGCATTTTAAAAGAAATAGCCGGGTAACAAATAAGTCGTCCACCAAATAAAGTAGAATCTGAAAATTAATAAATACCAGAGCAACGAGGAAAAATAACATCAACAGAGCTCAAATTTTCCAGCCAGTTTCAAAGAAGCGAAGGGCGCACAAAAATGAAACTCCGGCGGAGTCGAGATAATAAAATAACACAGAAAACCTTCAGCTAAACGGAGATCTGGTTGTCCTAGTTTTAACGCCGGCTGCCGAAAAGCATGGGGCTACCGGAATTTTATTTCCGATTAGATCTGACGCACCAGTAAAGTTTTTTTACCGGCTAAACACAGAAGATCCGACCAGCACTTAAGATAATCCAACAAAAATTTTGAATAACAATACTAAACCAAATATTGATGATAAAGTAAAATAAATAATAGAGAAGAGAAGGGACTGATGGAGGCAGTGGCGTCGTGAGAAGTTACCGGCCATCGCCAGTGATTAAATCCGACGGGCGGCAGAGGAGTGGAGAAAGGGGCAGACGAGAGATAAGGGGCCTTGGCGGCTGTCTCTCATTTGAGAGTGATAAAAAATGAGAGTGTTGGGGTTTATACCCTATTAAATTAAAATCGGATGGTGTATGTAAAGTGGGGTAGTGTGTAGGTGTTTTTTTATTTATTTATAATGTGTATGTAAAAAAAATATGTGGACTAAATTAATTGAAAATAAATGTAATATAAAAATAAAAACATGTGGTCCACAATAAAACTATCAATTTAAAAACCATAGGCATCGTGCGACGAGAATACCGAGGGCATCGTGTAACCTCATAATGATGCGCTGGTAATATCCGTACTTATAAATAAATCTTGAGCTAAATGTGTGTTGATTGATCCAGGTAGCTCGGCCAACATCATCAGATCGAGAGTCGTAGAGCAATTGGGGTTACAGGACCAAATAGTGCCAGCAGTCCGGGTGTTGAACGGATTTAATATAGCATGTGAAACCACTAAAGGGGAGATAACCCTGCCGGTAAACACCGCCGGGATGATCCAAGAGACAAAGTTCTACATGATCGAAGGGGGCATGAGGTATAACGCTTTATTTGGAAGGCCATGGGTTCACAACAAAAGGACGGTACCCTCGACCTTGCACCAGGCGTTGAAATTTCCTACACCGAGAGTAGTGAAGATGGTCTACGGAGAGCAGCCGGCCGTAAAGGAGATGTTTGCAGTCGACGAGGTAATCCTGGTGCCCGCGGTTTCGACATCAAGGAATGCGGAGCCGACCAGAAAGGAAGAAATTAAATAGCAATCACCGATGTCGGCCTCAGCCGAACTGGAGGAACGAGGTGTCATGACCCAAACTGTAGGGTCGTGACGGGCACCCGATGCCTAACTCAACCGAGTATCAACGTAACGTATCCTTCTTATCATACTACCATGGGTAAATGAACCGGAGAGGCCGTCATGAGATAATTAGAATTAAACATATGAGAATACTCGACATGGGATGACCCAACATGATATAGAAGTTTATGTATGCGACATACGGGCCTATAAGACCGACATGATCATTTGTATACTTAAAACATAGGCCGACAAGGCCATACAAGTATCCATATACATGACATCTGTCTACAAGCCTCTACGAGTACATAAATGTCATAAAGTTTGAGATATGGTCCCGCTATGCCAACCAATACATGTCCAAATCATACTGACCAAATAGGCAACTTCGGAGAAAGTGGAGTGCACCAACACTTTCCGCTGAGCTGATAGCCTACTAGGAGGACTTTCAACCTGTCTATCGGGACCTGCGGGCATGAAACGCAGCATCTCCAGGCAAAAGGAACGTCAGTACAAATAAAGTACCGAGTATGTAAGGCATGACAGTAGTATATAAAAGACATGAAAGAAACATGGAGTAAAGAACTTAACCTGTAATTCTAAATAGCTCTGTGAATCATGAAAAATTTATAATGTCATGCATGTGCGTATAAATGTCATACCATGCATAGGTATATATGTACATAACAATATTCAGCTTCTGAGGGCATCCCATCATATCATCTCAGCCACTATGGGCGAAATTATCAACGTATACCAGCTGATCAGGTGGTGGCGCATATATAACGCCATAACCTTTTTTCCATATCCCATATACATATAATATACGCGTATATAACGTCATCTGGTCATGGGTCAATGTACATGTTTAAATGAATGCAATGCATAATGAAGTAAGTCAGTAAGATTTCTTGGAATGTCATAAGATCAATATGCCTTCGGATAAACTTTAGCAACTTACATATTTTTCTGATACTCATGAACAAAAGATATAATAATAGGACACATGGTGAATTAAGAACATAGGCACCCCTAGTACTTCTATGAATAGAGTCATTTATGAAAGTTCCGCTTTTACATATTTTGTTTGTATCATATGTATCATATCAAAAGGAAAGAATGGATAGCCTTAACATACCTTAACTCCATTGAATCCTTAATATCTTCCAAGCAATGTTTCAAACAACTCAACTCAATCTACTATAGCATAAGGAGATTCAAAATCAGTGTTGAATAAAGGCTAAGTCTGCAACTTAAACTAGTAGCTCGTTTATGTAAATTTAGGCAGCATCTCCCCTGTAACAAGAGCCTCTTCCAATACCATATACCAACAATAATGACCAGAGAAATTCATCAATACATAATTATCAATAACAAGACACCATATAACAACAACAAGTCACAACTACTTCACGACGAGCTACAAGCCCAATTGGAATCGGTATACCCCATATCACCCCTTATAGACTTCTTACTTTAACTTACTAGTATCATTAACAAGATAATGAAATCATTTATCAATGATTCCAGCCTTATACCATATGTTTATAACAAAGAAAATAATTCACAACTCCAACTATCCTCAATTAGCAACTTTATTCACTAGTTCATGTCTAGTCCATCCATTTAACTTAATCAACATCAAGATAACCTTAAGCACATGAAAGAACACAATATAATTACCTACTACAGTAGATTCAAGTCAAGATCCATGTTATATATAGCTTACAACATCCCAACACACCCCAATCACTTCATACCCAAAACGACAACTATAGTAGCGTCAAACACCCCGAAAATATTACAAAGAACGATTAATCCACCATTTCGCCATTATGTGGTATTTCTCCACCCATTTATAATCCAAAACTCCATTAAATAATAGCAAAATAGACTTTCCAAAAGCAACACGAAACAGCCCATAAAACAGCCCACTACAAGTTAAATAACTCGAACTCACGGCTTCCGATCACCGTCCCAAGAGTTTCAACTATTAGGAAATGAATTTATCAACCTTTATTGATATTTAAAATCTTAAATACAGAAATTAGGAATATTCTTAACTATTAAATACATTCCCAAACTCAAACTACAAAGAAAACGAGAGGCGATATAGCGATACTTACGTCGTATGGATCATTTTAATGTTATCGCTTCTTGATTTCGTGCCCGGGATGATAATCTTGTTTGAAGACCTTGTAGAGAACTTAATAGTAAGGTTAGGGGTGTTATTTGGTCGTGCTCTCTGGAAAAATAGAGAAAGAGACGAGATAAGGGATGTAAATATCCCGTTTTCTTTTAAAAGTCAAAAAGGTGCTACTTGGCACCCACGAATTGCCCTTCTTCAGACGCTTATATCTTTTTATTCGGATGTCGTATGAACTAATGGTTAAGAGATTTGGAAATTACATTCCAAGACCTTCAATTTGGTATATAATATGTCCCAAAATACCCTATACAGCACATGAAATATATTGCTCAAAAAGCTCTGTTACAAGACGAATCCTTAGTCGGTTTTTCCGAAACTTTAATCTGATTTTTTCCAAACTGTATATTTCATATCCAAACATCATATATAGTCATATAATAATTTTAAAATAATTTAAATTATGATTACCAAGTCTCATATTCATCTCAACTTACTTAAGACTTCGGTAAACTTTTCTTATCCTTGTAGAAGGATTTTGTCCTTTTTGAGCTTATATTAGATAATCTTATAATGACAGTGACGTCTGAAGTACGGGCTGTAACTACATGTACCCAGAGAAACATTTGTCCCCGAATGATAACTTTTAAAGGCTTGCGAAAATGGAACGTAACATCATTAAATCACTTTATATACTTTCAAAGAGGATCTCATTTTCAAGCTTACATCAATTGACTTACGTCGTACTTTTACGTACAAAAATATGGGGTGTAACATCAGTCCCCCCTTTGGAACATTCGTCCTCGAATGTTGACTGATACGCTTAGCATTCTCATAACCTATGGCTTTTATAAATACTTTAATATTGTCCTTTGCCATCTAGGCAACCATTCTATGAATAAATCCAAAGGCCATGGTACTCCCCCCTTTAGGCCTCTTTCTCACGCCACGACTCGTGGTCAGAATTCTTCCAATCTTGTAACTATTGCTACTTTCTATCATGCAGTCTGTACGACTTTGTCATTGTATGTGCGCCTATGTGACTCTTCTTTCATTTTTCTCCAGCTTTTAGCCAATCTTTAGGCTTTACTTTGTGAACATATACAGGACTACAACAAGTTGTCCCTCTGGGCATTAATAGGTATACTGAAGTTCTTCGCTTGGTACTTTGTTGAATGTACCACTATTGCTATATTTTGTTCCTAGCCTTGGTTATCTGTCCTTATAGCTTTAGTGTATCTAGGTAGGTCATACCGTACTATAACACTTACTTTGATTTATTATTACCGAGGTATGCTACCCAACTCCAGGTTACTCTCTCACTGTTTATTCCATATGTATAAATCTAAGTCATTTAATGCTTCCTTATTACTGTTCATCTAAAGAATGGCATCATAACCTCCCCTTATACTTTGGAATTTTTATCCATCTATTGTTGATTCACCTTAATGTTGATCTATATCTACCACTCGTAACTTGAGACCTCTTACGTAATACATTATCACTAGGGCTCATGTCTCATCGGAGAACATCTGAAGTGATTTTTCTGATCCACCTAGGGGTGATACTATACTTCAATAACCGTATTTCATAGCATCCCGGTATGATTCATCTTATATGGGTATTCTAATCCCATGCAATTCATGAAATTCCTTTTCTTAAAATCATTACTAATTCAAAAGCCTAAACGTCATCCTCTTATTTGTCATCATTGCACCCTTATTCTACTACAGGGCAACATTTCATGTTATTTAATTGCTCATATTCTTAGACTCCTCTAAGTTACTTTAGACTGTACCGAGCTTTATATAACTTTTGGAAACCATCAACTCTCTTATTTTGATAGGCTTAATCTCGAGGCCTTACATGTTCTCGTCACCTTCTCACTCACCTTTTCATAACCTTACTCTTATCTACCTAAACCTTGTCGCTCTATCATACTTTAGCTTGCGACCTACACATATCTAATTATACTACTCGCAATCTTCCTTTAAATTGCTACCATAGATTTCCTTTCGTGCCTTCTCAGTTGTCTTTAAAAGTAAGCAATTATATTTCCTGGTCGTTCCGCCACTTGTTGCATGAATACTTATCTTATCTTGTTGCCCACGAATACTAGAATTTCTTG